ATGAGAAGAACAAGTCTGTCGCTAATGGTTTCCTCACCTGCGGAATATGGCCTTTGTCGCTGCCCAAGATGCTTCGCCGCCTGTCGTTGGCAAAGACAAACTCTGTGAGTGACAACGTAGGAATAGCTCCATGGCTCAAGACGAAGACGTATATACGAGACGAGGTGTTGACGTTACCTCCAAAGAAGACAGGGCGAAAAAGAGTCATGACCGAGCTGGAGTGGCATACGCGGGATTCACTTCATGCCGCCTCTGTCGCAAAGCCAGCGAAACAAAAGAATTAATATTTTGTAGTTGAACAATAAAAATGCAAGAAATATAGTGGCTTTTGTGCTCATTTGAATTTTATTACTCATTATTATACTGTATTCCCTGTTATATTTTTCAAAATATATTTGTAGCATCCAAAACCGAAGATGATTGACTTTCCGAGAAATAGGTTTCGTTAGAATTCTCACTTGAAAATTTTGTCGTTGTATTATTTTCCCTACAAATCACAAATGCCATTCTTTCACGACGTTTTAGGCATGAAAAAAAGTTCAGGAATTACAGTTTCTGGATATATCTCCCGATTTTCTGGAAGTTCAATACTTTCTGAAATATGTTCATTCAAAAATCTCAGTCAATTTTATGCAAAAAGCCTTCGAGAATTCGATGCATTACCTTCAGTTAGTATCAATTAATTGAACACCGCATTGCGTCGTCGTTGCGGGACCACTGACCGTGGTGCATGCCCCCGTCGAGCTCGAAATGGAGAGGTCTCAAACTGTTGCTCCTCTCGTGCATATCAGCATTTTACTTGCACGTAGGGCAGTGAATCTGTGGGTATGGAACCGCGACCGATATGGCCCGGATGGGTCTGGATAGAAACAACCTCGACTTTGCCCACAAGCGCGACCAACCTCGTCGGGTGGTTTTCGTTCGACAGCGCACCACTTGGGCGACGTCAAACCAGGACAAAAGATCCACTTTGACTCGTTTGGCAAACACACCTCGTTACGGTC